TCCTTTTTATAGTTTCTCTGTATTGATATTTCCTACTTATTCAAACATCATCCTCCTGATTTTCTTAATTCTTTGTCCATGTTTTTCTTTAGCTCTTTGACAATACTTAAGATGGTTGTTTTAAAGTCTTTGTCTAGTAAATCCAATGTCTGAGCTGCCTGAGGGATGGTTTCTGTACGTTTATTTCTTTCTTTTCAATGGATCATTTGAAAAGTATATCATGGTAAATTTGAAATCTCTTTCTCACTTTATCCAGGGTTTGCTGATATTTTGTTGTTGTTGTTGTTGTTGGAAGTTATAGTAATTCTGATGTTTAGTGACTTTTCCTGATTATTTTTGCAGAGACTGTTTTTCTTGTTATGTGTTATAATTGATGTCCCTATTCCTTAGCTTGTATTCAGCTAGTGTTTTCATAGAGTATTTCTCAAATGTAGAGGACAGAGAGAGATAACAGAAGAGTAAAGAAAAAGAAAACATCTCTCCCAGTATTTTCATATTGGCTCTGTGCTATGGTCCTCCTCAACACTTAGCAAGGCTTTTACTGAGCCCAGGAATCAGCCCAAGGGAAAATCTTAGGGTCTTCTCAGGTCTCTTCTGAACATTTATCTTGCCTTGGGCATCCATGTGACTTTCTAAATTTCCCTCATATATAGGGGTGCTTTTAGTGCTCTAATTTCCCAGAGTAACTCTCTTCCCGTTTTTTCCCCTGGCTTTAGATGGCCTATTATATGTTTCAACCCTAATCTTTTGCCACACGTAGCTGCAGGTTGTTAGTCTATATTACAATGTTCATGAGCAATATCTGCCACTTTTCCAGCCTAGGACAATTTGAAGTTAGATGAATTGGAAATGAACAACTTGCTCATGTATTCCCCCAGAGAAGTTAGCACAGTCATATGCAATAATAAGGTCTTCTCTGCTCCCTCTGGAACCAGGGACCTAGATCCTACATTGGGAATATAGATAGAAGTCTTCAGGACTGCCACTGAGCTGGGAAGGGGGTGAGGCAATAGCAAGTGCACAAAGTGTTCCTACCACTCTTCTTTTGTGCTGAAGTTATTTTATTTAAAAAAGCAAAAGCAAAAAAAAAAAAAGACAAAGAACAGAAAAGATATAAGTGTAAATTATTTTTTACAAACTGCATATATCAAGGTTTATCTGTAATAATAGTATAATTTTCTTTACAGTACTTGTGAACTCTTTTTAATAATAATACATTATTTTTCTTTACAAGATCATCAAAAGGACCCTTAATATACAAATTTAAATGGTCAATGGCTAAAGTCCTGAGAGCCATTACTGTACCAAATCTATGACGGTACTACAAGTAGTTCGTGGAAAAATGGAATTGAAAGATAATGGAAATATTTCCATGAACTTTTTGAAGGCCCCTCATATTACCAATTATTCTGACATATCTGGTTTCTACCACTTTTAATTTGCCTCTTGTTTGGGGGTATTCAGCATGTGTTTCATTGCTGTAAACCTTTGACTGTTTTCCAGAGTTCTAATAAAGTTTGTCCTGATAATTTCTGCTTATTTTTTGATGGTTCTGTGGAGGGTAGGAGCTTGGAGTTGTCTACTTCATTATTTTGCTGATATTGATCCTAATTAAATTATATTTCAATGTTTTAGCTTGTTACTATGACTAGAAAGGATTACGTGCAAAATCCTGATTTTAACATACTGATTTTCTTAAAATGAAAGCAAGAAAAATAAATGTTATGGAGCATAGACTAAGAAATGAATATTTTCTAACTAACCCAAACTTTACGAGCCCATCAAGAGAACACATGAACATGCATAACAATAATGAAATTTCTTCATCTTTGATTTTTGACAATTTATAGACCTATGAAATCCATAGGTTTTCAGATATGTTTCTATTTTGTCATTACAACTGTATGTTTATCAAGGTAGGTGTATAGAATATATTCCATTGAAAAGTGTTTTAGTTTGGGGCCGGCCCGGTGGCGCACTGGATAAGTGCGCTGCTTGGGAAGCGCGGCGGCGCTCCCGCCCGAGGGTTCGGATCCCACATACAGACCGGTTCCCGCTCACTGGCTGTGCGAGGCACGGGAGCAACACTGAGGGTTGCAATCCCATTGCCGGTCCCCGGTCCGGTATGGGGGCAACACTGAGGGTTGCGATCCATTGCCGGACACGGAAAAAGACAAAAGACAAAAAAAAAAAGTGTTTTAGTTTAATTTATTACTTTTAAAGTTTAGACATATGGTATATACTCCTCTAATTTTACTTTTACTCTGTTCATTACAAATCATGGCCAGGTCCCTGGTAAATGTAAAGCCAGTAATTTTCTGGAAGAATCAAGGTCGTGGTCTCACAATAAAAAAAAAAATACTAAACACGTGAGGAAATAAGTTATCATGATTGAAATACAGTAGAAAACACACATGCATGCACACACACAAAACACACACACACAATCTGACCAGCTAAGACTAAAAATGCTTGTGTTATATAGGATATCATACAAAATAAATTGCTTTAATATGCTTAAAGTTTGGAAGTAAGATATTGAGACCCACAGAAGAAATGTCAGGAAGTCCAATATGTATCTATCAGAGTTCCAGCAGGATCTAATGTATTTATTTTGAGACTATTACACATACATGTGGAGTACAACATTGATTTTCAATAATTGTGTACAATGTGTGATGGTTAGATGAGGATATTACACTTATTAAACTTATTCATTACAATATGCAATCATTATTTGTGTCTGTTAACGAATTCCTCATTAGCCCCCCTCCCTTTCCCCCTCCTTTCCCCTTTTTCACCTCTAATAACCATGGTTCTTTTCCCTCTTTCTAAAAGTTCAGTGTATTACTGTAATTGTCATTTCTTTCTCTCTTTATTGTTTATTTGTTTATTTATGGCTATGAGTGAAAAGATGCAGTATTTCTCTTTCTGTATCTGGGTTGTTTCATTTAGGATAATTTTCTCCAGGCTCATCCATGTTGCTGCAAATGGTAGAATTTCATTCTTTTTTATGGCTGAGTAGTATTCCACTGTGTATATATATGATAATTTCCTTATCCAGTCATCCATTGATGGACATTTAGGTTGGTTCCATTGCCTGGCTATTGCAGATAGAGGTGTAATAAACATGGGAATGCAGGTATCCCTTTGACCTGATGATTTCCAATCCTCTGGATATATCCCCAGTAGTGGGATTGCTGGATTATATGGTAGTTCCATCTGTAGTTGTTTGAGGAATCTCCATTCTGTTCTCCATAATGGCTATACTAATTTACAGTCTCACCAACAGTGCAGAAGAGTTCCTCTTTCTCCACATTTGTTATTCTCTGTCTTTTTTATAATAGTCAGTCTGATTGGGGTAAGGTGATATCTCAAAGTGGTTTTGATTTGCAATTCCCTGATATTTAGAGATGTTGAGCATTTTTCATGTACCTGTTGGCCATTTGTATGTCTTCCTTTCAGAAATGTTTATTCAGCTCCTTTGCCCATTTTTTAATTTGATTATTTGGTTTTTTGCTATAAAATTTTTTGAGCTCTTTGTATATTCTGGTTATTAATCCCTTTTCAGATGCATAGTTTGCAAATATTTTCTCCCATTCTGTAGGTTGTCTTTTCACACTGTTGATTGTTTCCTTTGCTGTGCAGAAGCTTTTGGTTTGATATAATCCCATTTGTTTATTTTTTCTTTTGTTGCCTGTGCTTTGGGGGTGTTATTCATAAAGTCTTTGCCCAGTCCTAAGTCCTGGAGTGTTTCTCCTATGTTTTCTTCTAGGAGTTTTAAAGTTTCAGGTCTTATATTTAAGACTTTAATGCATTTTGAGTTGATTTTGGCATATGGTGAGAGTTACAGATTACAGGTCAAGTATTCTTCTACATATAGATATCCAGTTTTCCCAGCACCATTTATTGAACAGGCAGTCTTTTCCCCATTGTATGTTCTTGGTGCCCTTGTTGAAGATTAGTTGGCTGTAAGTATGTGGGTTGATTTCTGGGTTCTCTATTCTGCTCCATTGGTCTATTTGTCTGTTTTTATGCCAGTACCATGCTGTTTTTATTACTATAGATTTGTAATATAGTTTGAAGTCAGGAAATGTAATGTCTCTGGCTTTACTTTTTATGCTCAGGATTGCTTTAGGATCTAATTTAAAGATGAGGAAGTAATAATGCATGCATATATGGGAATCCAATATACAACAAAAGAGACAATGCAGATCAGCTAAGAAAAGATGGCCAAATCAGTGAAGTATGCTTGAATAATTGATTGGTTATGATTTAGAAAAAAATGAAAAGAAATCCATATTTCAGGTTATACTCAAAATTCAATTAGAAGAAAATATAGAAAACAAACCAAAAACTAAAAGAAAATATAGAAAATATTTTATAATTTCAAGATGAAGATTTTTTAATTATAATACAATAAGAATAAACCATAAATTAAAACACAGATAAATTAAATTCAAGGACTTTGTTCATTGAAGGCATCATAAAAAGAATGAAAAGATATACCCCAACTGCAAGAAGATATTTGCATCATATATAACAGAAAAGGACTGATGTAAAAAACACTAATGAATCAATAGGGAAAAGATACATAGCCCAATAGAAATATGGGAAAATATATACTAGGCATTTCACAGAAAGGGAAACTCAAATAGCCAATAACTATAAAAATATGTCTAACTTTATTATTAATCCCAGACAAGCAAATTAAAATCATAGTGAGTAGTTCCATATTCACCAGCTAGCATCAAATTTAGAAGTTGGATAATATAACCATGCAGCATTGCATAACAAAGGGGAATATGAACATACTGTACAAAAGGACTTAAGTCCCATAAGTCTATACTCTGGGTAAATTGGGTATGTCCAGCAAGCAGCTCTGTTTATAATATCAAAAACTTAGGAACAGTGCAATGAATAAATTCTGAATACAAAAAATATTATATAGAAATATAAACAAATAATCTAGTTAACATACTGATGTGGTTGCATCATAGATGCATAATGTTGAGCAAAGGAAAAAGGTTACAGGTGAGTTTCTGCAGTATGATTCTGTTTATATAAAGGTGGAAAGCAGATAAAAGTAAAATTATCTGTGAATTCATACAACCATTATTAAACTTTTTAAAAGCAGGAATGATTAACAAAAAATATAGGATAGAAGCATGAGGGTAGGCTAAGACTGAATGTAAATGTGGAGGGATCACAGGGGCTCTGTAAATTAAGCTTATCTGCATTTTGGATTCACAGGTGTTCATTTTTCTATTATTCTTTAAAGTGTTAGTTCATATACACAAACAACATCTCTTTTTTGTGTGTCTATGTTATATTTATCAATACAGACATTTTTTAAATAGTAAGATGCACTACAGATATGAATCGACTTCTATGGAAACCAAACCACAACATTATTTTCATAAGAAAAGGGGATTGTGAATTAAAAAAAAAAAAAAAAAAACATAGTTAGAAAATGGGGAAAAGAAATCATAAAAAAATTCTGCCAAGTTGGCATGGAGCCTAGAGAAAAGAAAGACTTGCTCCATCCAGAATGCAAGCCAGGTTCTACGTTTTTTTCAAAGCTCTTGATTGTTCAGGGCCTGTGAGGTTTAGCACAAGGCAAAGGGATTCCTCAGGACCCTGTGTCACCATTCTATGGAAACTAGAGGGAGTTCAAAAGCCTATTGAATTGGCTTGATTTTAAAATAAATTGTTAACTGTCCCTTGCTCTTGTGCCCCAAACCAAAGGGCAGCCTTTTTGCCTCCCAAGTGATTACAGGATGGAATTCATTTGGATTTCCAGAGACTTCTTTATCAGATCAGCAAGGTTTCCTTTTTTGCTAGGTAAAACTTTTTTTTCAGGGTTCTCAGGGATTAAAGAGCATGTGTATTGAAATAAAAATAAGATGAAGCTATCAGTTTATTTATACTTGACTCCAAGAGAAGGGCTTCAGATGTTAAAGACTTACCAATAAGACCTTTTTTTGGTATTAATCTGAATACAAATGTATGTTTGCATGTATGTAGATGTGTGCCTGTGTATGTCTCAGTTGACTTTAACACTGGAACTGCTTCTTTTGTGTAGGCTCAGGGGCAACTTGTAACTTGCCCCAGGTGGCAGAACCTGCAGGTAAGACTTTGGGACCTGAGCTATTTTCATGACACCAGCATTCCCTTAGGGTTAGCTTCTTTCATCCACTCTCTTTATCTCTTCCTCCTGGACCAAGATTCCACCAAGACTGGGTGGGAATCCTGGTCCCAGTGGATGAGTGCAGAACTGTCCTAAGCCTCTATGGTCAGCATCCATGAAGAGCTTCCTTACAGAAATTTTAGCCTCCTCAGGAAAATATCAGAAAATCACAAATGCCACTGGCATACTGAAAGGGCTTGTGATGAGGTCATCTCTCTCCAGGAGGTGGAGCCTAATATCCCACCCCTTTCAGGGTGGATTGACTTAAGGATTCACTTACAAAAAATACAGTAGGGAAAGGGGAAAATAGTAACTTTACAGTGGATAAAACTAGGAATCACTACATTATTCAAGTGATCAAGTTTAACGTCACCAGAGGTAAGACATGCTGATATCAGGTACCCCCTGATATGCTACGAAAAGGAGAGTACTTAACTTGTGTGGTGTCATTCCAAAAACCCCCAACCCCTAAAACCCCAGTCTAATTATATGAAAAACACCAAGGGCTGGCCGGTTAGTTCAGTTGGTTAGAGCTCGGTGTCGTAACACCAAGGTTAAGGGTTCGGATCCCCACACCGGCCAGCCACCAAAAACAAACGAAATAAATGAACTTTCCAAACATTCTAAACTATTTGTGGGAGGTGTCGGTGATGGGCCATAATAATCATATACATTGTATATTGACAAAATAAAAATTAAAAAAAAAAAGAAAAAAGAAAAACACCAGATGAACTCAGACTGGGGAACATTCAACAGGATAAGATACCTGGCCAGTACTCCTCAAGACTGCCAAGCCATGAAAAACAAGGAAAGACTGAGAAACTGCCACAGACCAGAGGAGACTGGAGGTGTGACAATTAATGCAGTATGTTTAGGATATAAATTGGATTCTGGAATACAAATAGGAAAGTAATGGATGAGCTTGTGAAATTCAAATAACGTCTGGATTTCATTTAATAGTAATGTACCAATATTGGTTTATTAGTTTTCACAAACATTATCATCTTTATAACTTTTCTTTAAACATAAAATTATCCCCAAATAAAAATGTATTTTTAAAAAACTTGCAGTAAGAAAGGGCTGTGTATCCTGCAACTTTTCCACTGACCTAGTCCAGCCGTTCCCCTGACCTCACCAAACCCACTTGGAGATGGCTCAGAGGGTCATGTGGTACCCTAGGAGAAGCCTTGCAGCTGGAATACAGACAGCTGGGCCAGGGGTGGGGGGAGGCCAGGAGCTTGTTATGGACTTGGGAAGCCCATGATACAAGTGGCAGCTAGATGTGTGTGTCTGGAGTTGAGGGATGGAATCAAAACTACACATTCAGAATCAACTAGAGAGTGGGTCTAGACAGAGCAGAGTCCAATGACTGTGCCCTGGGGTCCATCAGGGTTTAGAGGGGAGCAGAAAAGGAAGGCAAAGGAAACTGAGAAGGGATAGTCAGATAGACAGGAGACACAGGAGAGTCATTGCCTTGGTGCAAAAAGTCAATTAAGGAGGAAGGGGGCATCACTGCATCCTAGGAGGGCCCCCATCAATAGGGGTCATGTATGTTTTTCTCACATTGTTATGCTCTCTCTCTAGCTGGGGGCCTGAGCATGCCGTAGGCAGTTAATGAATACTTGCTGAGTTATAAGTGAAGCCCCTAGGATTCATCATCCAACATTCCTGTCAGAACTGTCCTTATAAAGAAAGAGCAGAAGATAAGGCACCGACTCATTCCTTAAAAGGATTTTATAAATGAAGAGCAACAAAACTCCTTCGTGCACCCCCATTGTCCCGTTCCTGAGATTTTAACTGACTTTGACATTGCAGAACAATGACAAATGTACACAGAAAGTTGCACCCACTTTTTTCAAAAATCAAAACAGCCTCGTGAGAAACATAGTGAAGGCAGATCAGTCCAGATTCAGTCCACACGTTTCAACACATGAGATTCTCAATGGGGTGCATATTCAGACAGAGCTAAGTGTGCCACCTTATACAAAAAGAGCCAAAGAAATGCCACCTTTAAAAGCTACCATATGAAACCAGAAACAACGGACAGCACCCATGTTCCTTTGCAGCTGAGTTAAGGGGTTAGAGATGGCTGTGAGGTCTCTGGTGGGATAGAGGACTGAAAGGTTTGAGAGACCAACTCTGGGACACCCCCAAACCCTGAAGCCACAGCTATGGGGCAGGAGGTGGACTAGAAGGGGACAAGCTGGACTGCAAGACCTGTTCTGCCTCGGGTGGGGTAAGGCCTCTACAAGCCCCGTGAGGATATTTTCATTTTGCATAAGGAAGAATTGTTCTCACACAAAAATGGTTACTCAGCATTGGTACAGAAAAACATACAACTTAGAATCGGAGCTAAAAACTGGAAAAGGCCTCTAAAATCATGAAAATTTCCCAACCAAAGAAGAGAAATAAAGGTTGCTGATGTGTAACTTCTTTTTCTCTTTTGCATATGAAAGATTAAAAAACAAGACCAAGAAAATGCAGGATTTCAGAACACCTGACATGCAGGGTTGCTAGCCTTTGCTGACAAGCAATGAGATAACTTTTAGGTAAAGGATATAGGTGTTCATGACAATTAGGAACTTCCTATTTTCATCTAGAAAATTTTCAGTTTATAGGCAAGTGCCTATTAAAGTCAAAAATATAGAGACAGTTCTCTAAGAGAACATTACATTAGGGAAAAGAGGATTGCAATTGGGGCATACACATAGACTGGGGTATGTCAGAAGAACAAAGAAAAGTCTGGGGGTTTCATGGAGAGAGGAATGTTACATATTGTTTTGAAAGAAAGCACACTGGCACTAGCAAAGTTCTGGAGACTTGGCAGGCTTTCATTGTTGAGTGATAGCGGTAGATAAAATGAGTCTTGGAGTCATGGCAGGTTTCAGCAGCTACTAGGTAAAGCTAGTCTTAGGACTACAGCAGGCTCTTTCAACAGCTGGGTTTGTAGACAATTCTCTTGGAGCAGGTGCCATGTGCCCCAATTTTTTGTCCTGGCCCCTCGACTCCAATTTTAGTTTGGGCATGACAAGAATGACCCGATTTGTACAACCAACTTTCATATCCCTATAAGTTAATGAACTGATCAACTGAAAGCGGGGTGAAGGCAGTCAGAGGGTAGAGGAGGTGGAGGAGTGATGGAGACCTGCTTTGCTCCCAGTGGACAGCTAGCAGTGCTTTGAGATGAACAAAAACCCAAGCATTAGGAAAGAGGGTCTTGATTTGGCCTCATGTTCTTCTCCTGCCCGCATACTAAAGGGACCTTTTAATTTTCACAAGGAATTTGAAAAGAGGAAGTAATTTGGCTTACAGCTGAAGACTTCTGTGCATCTGCTTGGCCAAGGGCCAAGGCCGGCCCTTGTGTGACTGTGTGTCACAGGAGGCTGGAGACTGTCCAGGAGCCTTCTTCCTGCTCTGGAATGGATCCCATCTCAAATCCCTCTTCTTTGTCAAGACAGGCTGAGACCACTCACTTCATCCATCCTAAAGGGTATTAGGAACACAAATGAGAAGCTCAAACGGTGGCAACTCAGGAACTTGTGCCTGAGGACAGAAATCAGGCCTGCTGAAATGTATGAGCTGGGGGTGGAGGAGACTATAAAGGCCTGCCTAAATGTGGGGCCTCCACATTTTTTCTCAACCAAATAGGAAAAGGAAGCAGAGTTACACCCTTTCTGCTAAAACTGCTTCTAATTTATGATAGCATACCAGGAGGAAGGACCAGGCTGCTGGGCCATGACCCCTCTCTGAGTCCTTCCTGGATGCCTCACTCATCAGTTTCCCATTACATATCCATTCTTGGACAAGATCACAGATCAACTCTGCTTTATTAAGGTGCCTCATTCCTTGTTCTGGAATAGATCTCATCTCCAAGTGCTTGTATATCAGCACAGGCTGACATCAGTCACCTCATCCGTCCTGAAGGCTGTTACGAAGACACAATGAGAAGTTCAAGGTGGTGGCAACTTAGGAACTTGTGCCTGATCTGTGGAATCAGGCCTGCCTAAATGTGTGTGTGTGTGTGTGTGTGTGTGTGTGTGTGTGTGTGTGTGTATTTGTAAGCCACACATTTCTGATCGGGTTCCCCCCACCATCAAAGTGTACTTATACTTCAACAACATTTCTCTGCTTTCAGGTTGTTGGTTTCAAATGGAGGATGAGGAGGCACCTTCTCAAACAGTGTCACAGGTAAGGGCTCCCAAGTCAGGACCAGAAACCCAGAAAGCATTCCCTTGTGAGATGTGTGGCTCAGTGGTGAAAGACAATTTGTGCATGGCTGAGCATCAGGGAATATGCCCTGGGCAGAAGCTGCACACATGTAGGACATATGTGGGGCAACTCTGGTTCCTTACGAACATCCTCCAGCACCAGAAACAGCACAGTGGAGAGAAACCCTTTAGAAGGGATCAGGAGGGGGCTTCATTTGTTAAAAACTCTAGAACATACACCAGTGAACATACACCAGTGAATCCCTTGACATGTGGGGATGGTGGGAAGGATCCCCTGGCCAGCTCGAGCCTTTTCCAGCTCCAGGCCACTCATGGCAAGGGGAGTCCACATAGCAGCATGAAGTTCAGGAAGGCCTTTTGCAGTAGTGAAAAGCCTTCTGAATACAAGGAATGTGGGAAGTTCTTTAGTTGCAAAATCATACTTGTTCAGCACCAGAGAATCCATACTAGATAAAGGACCGAATGCGGGAAGGTCTTTAGCCAAAGCTCTAGCCTCGTTCTACATCAGAGAGTTCACTCTAAATCAAGGTCTTTTGAATGCAGTGAATGTGGGAAAGCCTTCAGCTGCACAGACAGACTTGTTCGGCACCAGAGAATCCACCGTGGAGAAAGGCCTTATAAGTGTACCATATGTGAGGAGTTGTTTTCAGACAGACAAAGTTCTGTCCTTATTGGACACCAGAGAGTTAACACTGGGCAAAACCTTATAAATGCAACGAACGTGGGTAATTCTTTAGCCACAAAATAACACTTGTTTGGCACCAGAGGATCCACACCGGTGAAAAGCCTTATGAGTGGAGTGACTGTGGGAGATTCTTTAGCCAAAGCTCTGGCCTTATTTTACACCAGAGTTCACAGTGGAGCAAGACCTTATGAGTGCAATGAATGTGGGAAACCTTTAGCCATAAAAATGGACTTGTTTGGCACCAGAGAGTCCACGCTGGAGAAAGGCCTTATGAGTGCAGCAAATATGGGAAACCCTTCAGACAGAGCTCTGGCCTTGCTATACACCAGACGGTTCACACAGGAGTAAGGTCTTATGGGTGCAGTAAATGTGGGAAAGCCTATAGCAAAAGATCTGACCTTGTTCAACACATGAAATTTCACACTGGAAAAAGGCCTTTTGAGTCTATGAAAATGTGAGAAATACTATAGAAGAAGCATCCACCGTGTTTGTCATGAAAACACTGGAGAAAGTCTTTATAGATGAAGCATATGTGGGAAAACATATGTTGTTTCCTATAGCAGCAAACACATACTTGCTCAACATCAGAGAATTCACACTGGAGAGAGGCTTCAAGTGCTGTGAATGCAGTTAAAGCCTTAAGCGAGAAATACAGGCTAATTCAGTACCAGCAAACCCACACTGGAGTGGATGTGCAGCAGATATGGAAAATTTTCTATATAAACCTCCAGGCTTGTTAGACACCAGAGGCTTCACACTGGTGCAAAACTTTATGAATGTAACAACTCTAGAGCATTCTTTACCTATAAAATCACACTTGTTAGGCATCAGAGAACCCACACGGAGAAAGGGACTTATGAGTACACTGAATACGTGAAATTGTTTAGCCAAAGCTCTAGCCTTATTGAACATCAGAGAGTTTATACTGGCTGCATGAGTGCATGGAATGTGGATAATTCTTTAGCCAAAGCACCAGCTTTATTTTACAGCAGAGTGTTCACACCAGAGCAAGACCTTATGAGTACAGCAAACGTGGGACCTTTCAGTCTTTATCCATCCTTGTTCTGCACCAGAGAATCCATCCTGGAGAAGGGCTTTCTGAGTTCAGCAAATGTGGGAGATTCTTTAGCTATAGGTCTGTCTTCATTAAACATTGGGAAATCACACTGGAGAAAAGAGTTAAAGTACAGTGACCGAGAAAGCTATTGCTCAATGGCCTTCATTTGCCACTGGAAAGTTCACACTGGAAAAAAGACCTTAAGAGTGTAGGAAATGCACTGTCTGCTTGTTCAACATAATGGTAGACACCAGAGAAAAGCTCTGAGAATGGCTTCTGTGAGATAGCCAACATCCCAAAATTAAATCTCACATCTGGATGTCTAAACTGGAGATATTCCCTCTGAATATCAGGTATGTGGAATGCTTTCAGGAGCTGCATTGCACATTCTAACCTGCCCAAGGCCTTTGTGTGAATTATATTGCTGCCAGGACTTGTGACTGAAGCCATCTCACCTCAACCAGCTGGCAAATGTGCATCGGGTTACCCCAATATACTCAGTGAACACAGAGTTCTGTGCTCTTTATCTCATTCCCTAGAGGGAAATCATGAGTCATCTAAGCATAATTACAACTGGCACAGAAACATTGTGTATGAATAATAAAGAGTTTGGGGGTGACTGTAGCAAGCCTGAGAGGATGCGTGCCATCTAAATGTGCTTCCACAAATATTCCAGTCCAGTCACTAGCTCTGAGGGATGAAAGTGTACAGATATACATAAGGCCTCTGGATGTAAGTCTCTTCTATGGCCATGGTCACTGGCAGAGCAAATAACCTAAAGGTTTTGGCCGTTCACTTCAATGCCATTGGTGCATAGGCAGGAAAATGGAACCCAAGAGGAAATATTGTAGTCCAGAGATATGATTTTTGTGACTAACATAAAAACATCCTTCATTCCTTGAGAGTCTTTGTTTCCATTAAAGCAGGACAGTACCTCACAAAGGAAGAGAATTATGGTAGAGTCAATATATGTTTGCCAAATCTGATTTTTCTTTTTTTTTTTTTTAAAGATGACCGGTAAGGGGGTCTTAACCCTTGACTTGGTGTTGTCAGCACCACGCTCACCCAGTGAGCGAACCGGCCATCCCTATATGGGATCCGAACCCGGGGCCTTGGTGTTATCAGCACTGCACTCTCCCGAGTGAGCCACGGGCCGGCCCACCAAATCTGATTTTTCAAGAGGAGTGGGAGATCCAGATTTTTACATGGAACCAGTTTTTGTTTTTGTTTTAATTTTTATTGAATCAAAATTGATTATACATATTTTTGGGGTTCAACGTTGAGATATGTTGATCAAATCAATATTACTAGCATATATATTGTTACAAATTGTACTTATTCTTTATACCCCTTGTCCAATCTCTCCCCATCCCCCCTCCCTCCCCCTCTCACCTCTGATAACCCTAGATTTCCTCTCTTCTTCTGAAAGAGTAATGGTTACTCCATTGATTTGTTGCCTAGATGATCTGTCCAATGCTGAGAGGTGTGTTCAGGTCCCCCAATATTATCATAGAGCAGATGCTTCTTCCATCACTCTGGAATGGGCTTTGTGGAGAGACATCCTCTTCTTTTCTTTGGTCTCTGCTGGTGACTCTCCTTGTGTCAATGCACTCCAGTGGCTGGCAGACCATCTGCATGGTGGTTGTGGCATCTAGCCACTTTTGTGGCAGCCATGGTTACTGTGGTGGCTGTGGTGGGCCACCCACATGCAGGTGATGTTTTTGGTATGCTCCTTAGCACTGGCAGTGAGCCTGGTTGTGGGAGGGGAGTCTGGTCCCTGGCTCCATACCTTGGGTCCCTGGGTGGACCCCAAGGCACTGGTGGTGTGTCTGAGCTGGAACTAATTTTTTGTCCTTTGCTTACTTCTAAAGTGGGGGTACTTCCTGTTGAGACCAGTACTTGAGCTCTGTGGTTGAACTAAATTGCTGCTTTGCTGCTGCTTCTCTAAGGAAGGCTTTTTATGCAGTGTAATGGTTGACCTTATAGGTACTTCTGACTCTCCGGATACCCAGTGTACCTGGGTTGTGTAGAAACTTTGATCTGGTCCTGAGTCTTTTCATCAAATTGCAGCCCATGCAATTCTATATTCCTGACCAGTCTCCTCTGAGTGGTCCTATGCTGATTGGAGGGCAGATCAGCTGTCCTTGCTTGTGTTCCAGTGTTCCCCCAGTGGGCCTGTCTCTCCCACTGGCCATGCATCAGTCCCTTGAGATGATTCACTGGCCTCTGAGTGGCTCCTTTTTTTCAGTTATTGTGGCTCTTTGCTCCCATGTGGGTCCACAGGAACCGTGTTAGTGATCTTGCTGGCCTGGAGATCACCAAGGCCCTCTTCTCCCCTGCCGCCTCCAAGCAACCCCATCCGAAGGGCTTGGCTGCAGCTTTTGCCAGCTCCTGCTCCATGCGCTCAGCAGCTCCAGCCTTAAAGCAGCTGCACTACAGCACAAAATGGTCAGAGTGGCTTTTTCTTTCTCTCATTGTGGCTTCTCCTGCCTTCATGTACTCTGTAGATCTCTCCTGCTCTTACTCTGAGCTCTAGCAGCCCAGCTTGGCTGTTGTTGCTTTTTTATATAGTTGTAAATTGGTTGATTTGCGGGAGAGAGTGACACTGGGAACCATCTATTCCGCCATCTTGACTGGAAGCCAGAAACAGTTTTAAAAATGTGTTATTGAGATATAATTGATATAAATGTCATGTGCTTGAAGAATAAAATGTGATGTTTTAACATATGTATATACCCACAAAACACCATAATCACGATAATAAAGCCATCACCCCCAAAGTTGCCTTGTGCCCCTTTTCAATCCTTATCTTCCTCTGTGGAGCCTCATCCCCATGACCAATGATTTACTGTCTTTTACTATAAACTTGTTTGCCTTTTCTAGAATTTTATACGAATAGAATCATAAAATGTTGACTCTTTTTTGTCCTTTTTTAAATTCATCATTAGTATTTGGAGATTTATCTATGTTGCCTGTTAATTACTATACTATATTATAATTTTTTATTCTGTTTATCTGTTAGTGGACCTTTGGATTTATTCCAGTTTAAGGTAATTACAAATACAGCTGCATTTAACATTCCTTTCCTAGTCTTTCTCTTTGGTTAATATCTAGAAGTATATTACCTGGGTCTAAGGATAGGTAAATGTTTATCATCATACAAACTGACCAACTTCTAAAGTGCTTGTACTATTTTACATTCTCATCAGTGGTGTAGGATAATTTCAATTGCTCTCTATCCTCATCAGTATTTGGTATGTCAGTCTTTTTAATTTTAGCCATTCTCATAGGTGTGTAGTGGTATTGTGCTTTTAATTTGTATTCCCTCAGTGACTGGTGCTTTTAGAATTTTTACATATGATTATTGCCATATCTTTGATAAATTGTTCTCACTTTTTTGCTCATCAAATTTTTTTGTTGTATTATTGTTTTAAGAATTTTTTATAAATTTTGAATATATGTCACTCACTAGATATGTGATTTGCTGATACAGTCTTCTAGCCTGTAGCTTGCCTTTTCATTGCTTAATAGTGTCTTTCCAATGGCAAAAAATTTTAATGTTAATGAAGTCGAATTTGTCTATTTTCTTTTATTGACTCTGTTTCTGATGTTGTGTATAAGAAATTTTTGCCTAACTCAGGGTCAAAATGTTTTCTCTTTATAGTTTTACAGATTTATAGTTCTGTTTTACAGTTAGGTTTATAATCTATTTTTAGTTAATTCTTATATATTGTATGAGGTGTGGTGGTCAAAGTTTCTTTTAAAGAACCCGGACTTCCAATTGCTCCAGCTACATTAGTTGCAAAGACTATCCTCCTTACTGAATTGCCTTTACACCTTTCTTGAAAATCAGTTGATCTTATATGTGCTTATTTCCAGACTTTCTATTCTGTTTCAATTTCATCTCTTCATCTATACTTTTGCCAATATCCTAAAGTCTTAATGTAATTTTAGAGCATGTCTTGAAATCAGGTAATGTAGTCTTCCAACTCTGCTCCTCTTTTTTCAAAGTTAAAGTTGTTTTGGCTGTTCTAACTCCTTTCCATTTCCATGTGAGTTTTAGAATCCCCTTTTCAATTTCTAATAGAAGCATACTGGGATTTTGACACGGACTCTATTAGCTATATAGATATAGATCAGTTTGAAGAGAGCACATTAACAACATTGAGTATTCCAATCCATAAACAAGGTGTATCTCTCCCCTTATTTAGATCTATATTTTTTTCAACAATGTTTTACAGTTTTCAGTTTATATATCTTTTTGTATCTTACTTATCTTTAAATATTTTATATGTCTGATGCTCTTAAAAGAATATTCTTTTAAAATGTCAATTTCCAATTATTTCTTGTTAGTACATAGAAGTATGACTGTGTTTTGTATATAGACTTTCTATGCTGGACACTAGTGTTTTTTGTTTTGTTTTGTTTGTAGATTCATGGGATTTTCTCCACAGACCTTCATGTTGTCTATGAATAAAGACAGTTTTAGTTTTTCCTTTCCAAACTGGGAATTGCAAAATTTATTGGCATCAAATTGTTCATTATAATCACTTAATATGTGTAGAATCTGTAGTGTTGTCAGCTCAGTTATATCTAACATTAATAATTTGCATTTTCCCTCATTTGTCCATGTTAGTCTGACTAGAGATAGATACTTTATTGATCTCAATGAACTTTTGGTTTCATTGATTTTTCTTTTCTATTATTGTATTTTTAAATTTCATTAATTTCTCTCTGAACTTTATTCTTTCCTTATTCTTATTTTGGGTTTAATTTGTCCTTTTTCTAGTCTCTTTTGGTGGAATCTGTTGTAGAGCTGAGACCGTTCTTTTCCAACATAAGCATTTAGTCTATAAATTTCCCTCTAATGCTTTAGCAACATCACACGATGTTTTTCATATGTTGTGCTGCCATTTTGTGTAGGATAGAGTTATTTTACAGTGGGTTGGAATAGCTGTAGTCTTATCTCTGGAGATGTCTAGATGTTTGACTTCAACTCTTAGCCATTCTCTTAGCAGTAGAATTTATGATGAGCTGTTTAATGTCTGACATATCCCTCGTGACCCACAGGGCCAGTGTATTTTACTGATGGCTTCACGTGGCATAAAGGATTGGGCAAGCTGGTCCTGATATAACCAGAGGGGCATAAAAATCCCTGCTTGGCCTTGAGCTTTCCCAAAGCCAGGATTCATCACAGAGGTCTTGGTGGTTC